ATTTATTTATTTATTTATTTATTTATTTATTTATTTATTTATTTATTTATTTATTTATTTATTTATGTTTTTTGTTTATATATGTATGTATATTTATATTTATATTTATATGTATATATGTACCCTAAATAGCTGCCTATACACCTGAATATAAATAAAAAATAAATAAAATAAATGTGTATAACTAACTAACTAACTGACTAAATAAATAAATAAATAAATATATAAATAAACAAATAAATAAATAAATATATAAATAAATAAATAAATAAATAAATAAAATTAATAAATGTAGTTATAAAATGTCTATATAAAAAAAAGAAAGAAAAAGAAAAAGAAATAAATAAATATAATTATATTTATATAATTATATTTATTTACCTTTCTTAATAAAGTTAATTAATTAATTAATTAAATTAATTAATTAATTAATTAATTAATTAATTAATTAAATTAATTAATTAATTAATTAATTAAAAAAGACAAGAGGATTAATTAATTTATATAACAGGATTAACATGGCTGGAGAGTACAGGTAGACTACTGCTGCTGCTGTTGCTGCTGTTGCTGCTGCTGCTGCTGCTGTTGATGCTGCTGCTGCTGCTGTTGATGCTGCTGCTGCAGCAGCAGCAGCAGCAGCAGCAAGAGCAGCAAGAGAATAATAATATATATTTATTAGCTGCAAGAGTAGGAAGAGACATTCCTTTCTTTCGTCTCTCTTTCTTATAAAGAAAAAAAAAGAAAAAAAAGAAGAAAAAAAAGAAGAAAAAAAGAATAAATAAATAAATAAATAAATAAATAAATAAATAAATAAATAAATAAATAAAAAAGAACACAGAGAAGATTTGTGCATAAAATAACAAAGAAGAGTCCCCTTTTTTATTTTGCTGCAACAAAGAAATGAGCAGCAAATTGCTGCTGCTGCTGCTGTTGCTGTTGCTGCAGCTGCAGCAGCAGCAGATGCTGCTGTTGCTGCAGCAGTTGACGCTGTATTTATATATATATTTAATTACTTATTTATATTATTATATAAATAAATAAATAAATTAATTAATTAATTTATTAATTAATTAATTAATTTATTTATTTATTTATTAATATATTTAATCATCATCTAGCCCTAGATGATCATTACCTATAGTGTCTTCTGCTGCTGCTGCTGCTGCTGCTGCTGCTTCTCCTTTTTCTGCTGCTGCTGCTTTTGCTGCTGCAGCAAGAAAGGGTACAACAGCTTTCTCTGCTGCTGCTAAGCAGCAGCTAAGAGAATTATTTGCTGCTGTACCCTCTCCTTCCTTATTAGGGGCCCCCTCCCCTTTTATAGTAGGGGGGCCCCCCTCCCCTCCTAGGGGGGCCCCCCATGCAATTCCTTCTGTTATAATTTGTTTACATTCTCCCCCTATAAATGTTGCACTTGCAACAATTGGGGGGCCCCTGTACCCTGCTGCAGCAGAGGGTACGGGGGCCCCTTTAGTAGTAGTAGAGGGGGGCCCCCCAGGGGTTGTCGGGGGGTCCATTGGTTGCTGCTGCTGCTGCTGCTGCTGCTGCTGGTGTTTGCTGTTTGTTGTTGGCTCTCTTATAAATATTTTGTTCTTTTTTATATTTAAATTATATTTATTAATTAAATAAATAAAAGAAAAAGAAAAGAATGCATGCATGCATGCAGTAGCCCTATACCTCCTTAATACAGCCCCATATAAGAAATCTTGCATGCATGCATGCATGCATGCATGCATTATTGTCTTATATTATTTCTATTATTATTTATGTTTATATTTATTTATTTAAATAAATATTTTATTTAATTAATTAATTAATTATAAATAAATAAATAAATAAATAAAATAAATAAATAAATAATATTTTCTTATATACATAAACAATACCCTTATTGTCTATGTATACTTGTACTGTTGTTAATAATAATAAGAAAAGGAAGAAGAAACCAATTATTAATTAATTAATTAATTAATTAATAATTAAATATTTAATTAATTAATTAAATTAATTAAATAATTAAATTAATTAAGGTAATTATTTATATTAATTAATTAATTAATTAATATAAATATACAATTTCTATTAAGGGATACTAACATAATAATTTTCTTCTTTTTTTCTTCTTTTAACAATTGCATGCATGCATGCATGCATGCATGCATATATTTATGCATGCAACAATGCAGTACAAATAAAAAGAAGAAAAAGAAATAAAAAGAAGAAAAAGAAGAAAAAGAAGAAAAAGAAGAAAAAAAAGGAAAGAATGTCTTTGTCTGTGCTAAATATTAGACAAAGAAGTAAATAAATAAATAAATAAATAAATAAATAAATAAATAAATAAATAAATAAATAAATAAATAAAACAAATAAATAAATTAAAATAAATAAATAAAATAGCAGTAATAAAGAAAAAAAAGAATAAAAAGAATAAAAAGAATAAAAGAAGAAAAGAAGAAAAGAAAAAGTAAATAAAGAAAAAAAAAAGAAAAATAATTAAATTATTTTGTTATAAATAAAGAAAAAATAAATTAATTAATTAAATAATTATATCTTAATTAAAATAAATAAATAAAATAAATATTAT